AAGCTTCAAAATTGCGTGAGGGCTCCTCATCGTGGTGGATGATTGGTCAATAAACACGTAACGTAGGTCATCGAGTGTTTGTATTGCGGTGAAAAAAACTGATTTGATTTTAGACAACTTAAGGTGCAGAATTTCCAGAGAGCATAAAGTGCTATACTTTGCCAATAAGGTGTTATACTTTGCCAATAAAGTGTTATACTTTGCCATATAATGCTATACTTTGGCCATAAGGTGCTATACTTTCCCATAAAGTGTTATACTTTGTCAAAAGCTTCTAAATTGAGCGAGGACCCCTCGTCGAGGTGAATAATTGGTCACGCGACACATAGCGTAGGTCATTGAGTGTTTGCATGGCCCTAACAAAACTGATTTGGTTTGCAACGCAATAAGTTGTTGAATTTTCTAAGACCATAAGGTGCTATACTTTATTGATAAGGCGTTATACTATTGTCATAAGGTGCTATACTTTGTCATAAAGTGCTATACTTCATCAATAAGCTGCTATACTTTCTTATAAAGTGCTATACTTTATCAAAAGCTAGAAAATTGAACGATGACCCCTCGTCGAGGTGGATAATTGGACACACGAAACATAATATGGCCCAATAGGCTGCCATCAAAACTTCTTCAGTTCAATCAGTGCATCAATTCATTACAGATATTCATATCTATCAACCACTAAACTCAAGCACATAACATTGAATGAAAATAATCCATGAAGATTGAATGGAAATAATCCAAAATCACCACTATCGGAACGTTGTATACATTTCTACTAGATATACTGATAAATTTCTAATAGAAAATTTGATGTAGCATGATACATTGGATAGTGCATTTGATACAATATACACACAAATCATCTATATATGCAAAATATAGAAAATTCCATACAACACGATACATTCGATACTACTTGGTACATCATATTGTAGGCTGTAGTTGATTTACCGTTTGGGTTGGAATGTGACAACAATGCTAAGATCTGATCGAATGCAAAGAGTGGAGGATTCTCTCATGTATTTGATTGGAAAGTTAGTGTACACGCATTGACGAATCGTTTCTGATTGTTCTGATTGAGGGGTAGCTGTGCATTGCGTTAGGTGTTGGCGACAATAGAAAATGGTGAGGAGCAACCGGAGGGCGTAGGATGGCATACCGATGGGCTAAGATCATGGCGGTCTACAAAACCAAACTTCTCTTGGACATTTCATCAACCACCTTTATTGCCTCCTCAACCAACAATAATATGGCATAACCGCTGATCGTTGTGGTCCAAATAACTATATCCCTTTTGTCATTCCATCAAACACCTTCTATGCATCAACCTAGTCACCAAAACATAGATATATATGAGCAAAATTGTTATGCACATACTCTTTCCTGAAACATAAGCTTGATAAGAATCCATCAATTTATAAGAACGAGACATTTTTAACAAGATATTGCCAAAAAACCCAAAATTTTTAAAATGTTAACATGCCGTTTTCTATTGGTCGGCTTTGAGTGGACGTGGTGGTCCTAGGGCCGCTGTCACCGCCCCCTTCAACGAATGATCTAGCGAAGAAGAACCTGTAAGTTGACATTGGACGCCATTGCAAGAGATCAAAACCCTTGAATTTTTAGGGTTTTTTTTGAGTGGGAGGAGAACCAGAAAAATATGGTGTATTAGGGAGGAGGAAGAAGAAAAACAGTGTAATTTTGAATTTAGGTAGGAGGAAGAAGAAGAATAGTTATTAGGGATGGAGATAATTAGAAAGAGTGAGTTGAGCCATGAGTAGTTATTAGGTAGGAGGAAGAAGAAGAACAGTGTAATTTCGAATTTATCTTTTATTTTTTGTATACAGTATATAAATATTGTGTATTTGATACTTTGGGTTTATAAATAAGTGGGTGTTGTATTTTGGGTGTATGGATTATAATGAAAGAAGGTGGGCTTAAAAATAAGTTGGAGTAAAACTTTGGGTTAAAAGAAGAATTTCCCTAATATTATTTGAGTGAATGACAAAAAGATCACTTTGAAAGACACATGGAGGGCGTGAATAGGGTTAATGCTAATCTAATCTGATATTAATGTCAATTAATACTTATTAACTAATTATCCTAGCAAGTATGATATTCAACAAGATATATGCAAGGATATGTAATAAAAGGCAAATAAACATGAAACGATATAAACAAAATAGTGAACAAATGAGCAATGCACACACAAGAAAATGATCACGGAGTTCGATCATTCCGACCTACGTCTCCGCTCCCCACTCCCGGGGAGAATCCATTATCACAAATGTGTTTTCGACGTTCACCCAAAAACGTTTACACCTCACAATTTGGTTTTTTGCGCTCACTGACAAACGTTTACAACTCACACTTGTAACTACATAAATACCACCTCAAGTGTTGGCCTCTCATGTGTCATCTTCCTCAAGTGTTCGGAATTACGACCTAACCTCTAGGCTTTACCACCGACCCCACTCTTCTTAGAACCGACCATGTCTCACCTCTACACTCCTCTTAGTGTATTTGTGCAATACAATATAACCTCACAAATGAAAGCTCGATACAAATAATTTATTCTCTACAATAGATAAGAACACAATGTAGGCTCACACTCTAAGTCACACCCACCACAACCCAAATTATACAATGTATGCAAATACTATCAGCACAATGGTTGTGTGTATAAACAAAGAGTAAAAATCAAACTAAACTCAACATGAAAATCTAGCTTATAGAAATGATAAACAATAAACAAAATAAATACAAAGCTAGAATTGAGTTTAGAAAAACTTCTCTAAAGACCAAGAGTGAGAGGGATGAATTGAAACCCCAAACAATAAAGATGATCTCCTCTTCCTCTTGTAAAAATCACTTCAAAAACACAAAACTTGAAACAAGGTTTTAAACGCCTTAAAAACACTTTAAACACTTTTAGAAACTCTCTTAAACTTGTTTAAAATATTCTCTTAGGTTAGTTCAGAAGTGAAATAGCATGGGTTATACATAGGATGAAGAAACAAAGCCCAAAAACCAAGAAAAACTAAGAAAAAAGATAAAAAAAATGAAATCTGGAAATATTGCCATTTCACGCCATCAGTCGACTGATACTGTTTATCAGTCGACTGATGAACTAACCATTAGAGTCAGCTCAATACATCATCGGTCGACTGATGAACTCATCAGTCGACTAATGACCTGCTTCAATCAACTGATGACTTGCTTCAGTCGACTGATAGTTCATCAATTACAAAACAGAAACTTTTGATGTTTTCAGTCGATTTCATCGGTCGACTGATGAGACCCATTAGTCGACTGATAACAGGTTATCAGCCTGATATAAAGAGTATATTTGATTTTTAAACCCCTTTTAAAAATAGCAAATAAATTTTAAAAAATATAAAAATTTGGGAAATGATTATAAACATGTTAATGAACATGTTACAAAAAGAAATTTTAGAATTGCACTTCCCAAAAGAAAAATCTCTTCATTTTTCAAAAATAGTCCAAAAACATGAAACACAATACACTTGTTTTTATCATTTTGACAAACTAAAGTTTTAAAACTTTTGTATGACTTTATAGACTTTATAAAAGATATATAATATTGTCATCATGTCTATAATCCAAAAATACAGTATTTTTACAAATACAATAGAATATGAAACATGTAAGTATGTGTATGTAAATAAGTATATTGTTTCATATTCAAACTTAAAAACTATAAAACCAAAACGTTTATGTGTGTATATAATTGAGGTTTAAGTACCAACACACAAAGTATATACTCCTAAACTATAAAAACTATATCCAAGCAATCTTGATCTTCGATGTAGCTCAACTTGGTAAACTTTGTGGATGCAGCTTGATCTTGAATTAGACTTGAATGTGCAATGGCTTCACTCCATTATTCATTCTATCTTCCAATGAATATGATTGTGAATACTCGATTCCATCCAACATCCAACCTCGATATATGTGTAGATTACCTAACAAAACAAATGCAAGCATTCGACGGACAATGTTAAGAATTGTTTGTAATCATCAAAACAATATTATGGAATAGGCTCATAACCATGAGGCTAACACACTTTGGTTATGATATGTAGTCTTAATTGTCATAATCTCCTTACAAATTATTCTACATTAAGCACAAATTATAGTGTAGCATCTTTCTCTTTTTGTTATCCAAACGCAATTACTTCCATCACATCTCTTCCCTTTCCGCCTCTTCCCTTTGGTTTCACTTAGGGGCTGTTTGGTTGTATGTTTTTACCATGTAAAAGGATGTAAAGTGTAAAAAAGTGGGTCCCAATGTCAGCTTTCATCACTTTTAATTGTTTGTTTGTAGTTGTGAAAATAGTGTAAAATGATTTCATATGCTGATGTGGCTTGTAAAGTGATTTCATGAAAAAAAAGTCATGATTTTAGAAGAAAGCTAACATTGAAGTTAGGAAAAAATAATAAAAAATAATTCTAACCAATATGATCATTTGAGTAGGGACCACTTTTTACACTTTCCAAAGAGACAATTAAAGTTTCATTTTGCAAACCAAACAAGTGTTTTATGATTCCAATGGAATCAAAAACAAACAAAGAAAAATATAAAAGTGAAATTGATGAGGTGGACAACAACTTTCCAAGTTATGTCATAAAAACACAACTTTACCAACAACAACCAAACAGCCCCTTAGCATGCCCCTCCCTTAGTACTTACCACCCTCCGTATGCAAACCCACGGTAATTAATAACACACATTGCAATAAAAAGATAAGGATAAATTGCAGAACCTCTCTGCGGTAGCACCTATTGCTCATTATAATTTTATTAGCACTTACCCTCCTTTTTTTCGTCAGAAAGGAGTAATCTGCAATTCAAAATGTCAATTGCATAATGATAAGTGTTACGAGTACATTGTGATTTAGAAATGGATGTTTGGACCCCCTCTGGATATTTTCATTCCGTGGCTGAGTTTTAACATTTCACTATTAGAGTCACTAGAATTTCACAAGCAACCAAACTACCGTTCCTTGAAGTTATTAACAAAAAGTTAACACAAAATAAAACTACACATGTAAAGGTCATGTAACCACACAATATTTACAGAACAGCAAATAACTACCCTTCAGGGATTTATCCAACTTACGGAAACTTCATCATTGTTGTAAGCAAGCTGCTCATATTTTACGCATCTATCGAACAGCAAGCAAATGGAGTAGATACATGGCATGCATCTATGCCATTTTTGCTTCTAGCTTTTAGAGATCACTCGAATGACAACTATATCTAAATCTCGATTTTCAGCATTAGTAGGTCCGGCCACTAGCAACCTTGCCATCAACTGTCTTCGCATGGCGCCTGTGGGTTTGCTTTTATAATATAAACCTGGGTGATAATGCAAAGGACAAGTAGTCAGTACACAACATAAATTTATTACTTGGCATGATACTTGTTTTACATTCGCAATGATTAATAAGAGAAACTTGGGAGGATTACAATACACTGCCGACCAGATTTCATAACCAATCTGAACTTATAATCTTACGACTGAGGATGGATTTGTTTTCTATATAAACCCTTCAAGTGGGCCTAGGGTTGTAGGCATCAAGAAAAGATGTAGCCGCTATTATTTTTAGAGTATTTTTCGTTCCTTTCAGCCTTCTTCTCCGAGTAGGTAATTAATAGAGTAAGTCAATGTGGTTACTTTCTTTGTTGTTTTCTTGCAAGAGCATGTTTGGTTCATTTCCGACTAACATAGGAATAGCGGTTGCTTTTTTTCCAGACATTTCTTAAATATCTTAACTTTTGCTTTGGTTCACAAGTAATTGATAGTGGAATATTGTTTTACATGAATACTTGAGCTTGTTTCAAAAGAATGAAAATAGGAAGTTACCTCTTTCAGAAATGGGTCTGTTTCTTTTCCTCAGTTTGCTTATTAGGAAAAATCATTGGAAATTTATATTAGATCACCATTGGCAAGATTACCACACGTATATAACAAATTTGAGCACAACAAATTGCAGGGGTCAGCCTACCCAGATGCGTGTTGTAACTTGTAACCCTAGTTTTTCCCATTTTCTCCCCAGAATCTCAAAAGCACGTGCCTATTTTTTATTTCTCTATCTCATGCGCTTTCAAACCCCCCCCCCCCCAAAAAAAAAAAAAAAACGCGAAATTGACTTTTCTTGAAATGATGACGTTTTTTGACATTTAAACAATGCTTTTCTGGAATTTTTTTGGAGAACCAAACGTATTACTAGGAATCCTATTTGGTGTTTTCTGACACAGAAAACGTGTCAGGCAGTTTCCACGCATTTCCACCCTTCTTTGCCGAACCAAACAGGCCCTAAGTTGATAGCCATGGTGGTCTCTTAATATGGTAGTAGTTAGGCTTTTTGTAGTAGTTATACAGCTTAAATTTGTTTTTCTATAGTGGTAGATGGTTAGTCGTGCTCTTCTATATCTTGTAATAGGATAAGATCGAGTAGACTTATTAGACTTATTGTTGTTATTCCTTCTTTTATGATGAGCTTTTGATAGATTGGATATGGTTCTGTACTATTTTCAATGGTTTTAGGATTTGGAGTTGATTAGTTTTTGTGAGGCCTTTGTTGCGTTATTGTGAAGTTTTTCATGTAAAAATGAAGAAAGGTGTTGAAGGTGCATCAATGGTATAAGGGTCAGCAGTCACCGGCCACTTCCACTGGCTACAAT